TAATATAGTTTAAGGGATAGAGTAATGGGCATAACATTAGATAATGCTACTGCAAATACTAAAGCAATAGAACTTTTTGAAAATGATTTAAGTTTATTCGGTAATAATGATGTATTTCACCAATGTTGTGCATGTCATATAATTAATTTAATAGTAAAATCTAGTTTAAAATCAATGTCAGGTTATATTAAAAGAATTAGAGATAACATTGCTTGGATTTAAGGTAGTAATCAAAGAATACAAGATTGGTTTAGGTTTCTACAAGCATGTAATCAAAATCCTAGAGCATTAGCCTTATATATGCCCATAAGATGGAACTTCACTTATATAATGCTTGAACAATGCATCCCCTATAAAAATGCTATAACAAACTATGTTAGTGTAAAATTAGGACCAGGATTTATAGATGAAACTGATTGGCAAATTGCCAAACTCTTGTTTAACTTTTTAGGTAGATTTCACGAAGTTACTTTAAAGGTTAGCGGAACTTATTATCCTACATCACCATTAGCATTAGGAGAACTTTTAAGAATGTCTATTTTATTTAGTGAATTTAGGACACACGAGGTTTTAGGAGTTTCTATCGCTTCTATGGAAAAGAAGTTTAAAAAATATTAGTCTAAATTACGAGTGTTGTATGGTTTCGGTGTTATTTTTGACCCTAGATTAAAATTAAATGGTTTAGAAAGTGGATTAGATAACTTAGGTGACCTTTTAGCTATCAACACTATTGACCAATTTCCTATTATAAATGAGAAAATATTTTCTCTCTACAGCTCTTATGAAAGTAGGTTTAGAAACACATCTCGTGTAGAACAACCGCAACAACGAGATGACAATCCACATTCATTCTTGAATGTTTTTGGGTTGTCTAAGAAGAAGAAGAAGACGACGACGATGACTCAAGGTCAAGAAGAATCTGGGAGTTGATCTTCATCAAGAGGTGGTGGCAACAGCGGCGGCTTCAACGAGTTAAAGGTGTACCTGAGTGAGGGCTTAGTTGTAGACAATAGTGAAATGTTTAATTTGGTTCAGTGGTGGAGAGCACGAGCATTAACTTGGCCGATCCTAACTCGACTGGCGATGGATATTTTTTTGATCCTAGTCTCCACTGTTGCAGCCGAACAAGCATTCAGTACAACCGGCCAAATATTTGAAGAACGGAGAAACACATTGTAACAGGATATTGTTGAAGCTTTGGTGTGCATCAAGGATTGGGATTGTTCCGACCAACACTTACACGATACAATTTCACTGGCAAGCTAAGAATGGATCAACAAATTTAATAGATTAACTTTTAATTTTCAAGACGATCATTCTGCTTCAAATTAAATTCTATTATTGTAATTTGTAAATATTTATTTACTTTGTACAGTGTTATTGTAATCTTGTATAGACTTTGTAAGTTCGTCAAATTTGTAATTCGTCCCACAATGATTGCACTTTTTTTTCCTTACCATGTTTTTATCTCAATTGAGTTTTTCTTGGTAAGGTTTTTAACGAGGCAAATATAAAATAAAAAATATTTAAAAATTTGGGCAACTCGATTGAGCTCGGGCAGCCCGACCAGGCACGGCCAGCCAAAGGCTGCCCGAAGCCCGTCCAAGTAGAAAATTCGAGTCGGGCAGCCTAAAAATTCGGGCTGATCAGGCGCGGTCATCGGGTAAAAATTCAAATTTTTTGGTGGTCGCGGGTGGCCCGTCCAAAGTTTCAGCACTACTTCAAAGAGATTAGGTCGGTAACCTCAAGTCTTTAATCACGAACCTTCATTGCTCCAAACTTCTAAAAAAACCTTGAATCTTTCACGTCTAGTTTAAGATACCTGCAAGACCTAGTGTGTGGTCACTAATTTAAAACTACCGGGAAGGATCACTCTTCTAATTTTCTCTCCCACTTAAATGAACACACAAACAAAACATGATTGGGAATGGAGAACTTTTCTTCTCTTTTTTCTCAATATTACACACCAAATAGAGCAAAATTGAATTCTCTAATTATTTTACTACCACTTGTTTATAAAAATACAGTCAGAGTCTAAGTAGAAGTCTAATTTATCTTTAAAAAATAAGGTTAAGAAAATTGATAATTATCTCTTGAAGATGCCTACTTTTACTAGTTTTGTTTTAAAAGACCATTATCAATATATTTTTGTTTTTTTAATATGTTTTCCGTCTAAAAAGATTAAAAAAAGGAAAAAAATTGTGATTTATGGTATCGTTTATTTTATCGATTTGAGTTTTCAGTTATAAGTTTTTACAGTTAAAAACTCTCAGAAAATGTCACATCTAACTTTTTTTATTACAGTTAAAAATTTTTAAAAAATATTAAATCTTAATTTAAATTAAAAACTCGAATCCGCAAAATAAACGAATCAAAAAATGTTGATTACTTAGACCCCGTTCACTTCGCTGATTTGAGTTTAGAATTCGAGTTTTTCTACAGTAAAAAACTCTCACAAACAATCACATCTAACTTTTTTGCTACAGTAAAAAATTCTCACATAAAATCACATTTCAACTCGAATTCTAAACTCGAATCAATGAAGTGAACGGAGTCTTAAAAGACATCAATGATATTGATTCAACATTCGACGCCGCAAATTCTACGGCTTTGGCCGGCTCCGAAGAGTACGGTTCTATTTTCTTCCGCACAATTTACCCAAAAGAAGGTTCGTCTTTTGTCTTGGCCTGCAGGAGGGCCCAAAATAGGAAACCGGTCTGACCAGATACCCCACGTGGCAATGGCTCATGTCTTAAACGTAAATGATGTTCACGTGACACACTCACGTGGCAGAAATACACTCCTCTGCGCTAGGATATACCCAACACAATTATGGTGCGGCAAAAACATTGGAAAGTTTCTTGCAATAACAAAAGATGCAGTCGCACTACTCTTCCCTAAAATAAAAAATAAATAAAAAATAAATCCATTCAAAAAAATAAATAAATAAATAAACATGAATCCAATGATTTTCTCTTGGCGACACTTTTGCAACTGGTGACAAACAAAATATAATTATATATATATATATATTTTTTTTCAAGTTTGTCACCCAAAAACAGTGCATAGGAAACAAAAGCAACCTAAACTCGTGCCTAATTTTTGTGTTCCAAATCAATTCTCTTTTCCCTCTTTGCAATAACATTTATTTCCTGACACTTCAAACTCTGAAAAGGAAATGAAAGAAAAAGAATGATTGCTAGTGTGAGTTATGTAACCGTAAAGCCAGAAAGAAATTCAATGTTTTTTTGCAGCTCTTACACGCAAAAGGCCTGAAAATTCCAGTTGTTGTCACATGTTCCAATGAGACCTCCAAACATCTTTTACAATGAAACTTAAAAAAAATTTAAATTTAAATTTATGGCCTCGTTCATTTCACCGATTTGAATTTTCAGTTTTAAGTTTCTACAGTAAAAAGTTATCAAAAAATATCACATCAATTTTTTTTGCTACAGTGGCAAACTCTCAGAAAATGTCACATCTCAGCTCGAATTAAAAACTCGAATTCGCGAAGTGAACGAGGCCATATGTTATTTTATAAAATAATTTGAACCCGAGTTTGGAAACTCGAGTTTAAGGGGTTATTTTTTTTATATTTTTGAGTTAAGGTGACTTGAGTGATAATTTTAAGTTGAGTTTGAGTTATAACTTGAGTTGAAGTTGTAACGGCCCCGTTCACTTTGCTGATTCGAGTTTTTCTACAGTAAAAAGCTCTCATAAATAATCACATCTAACTTTTTTGCTACAGTAAAAAGCTCTCACATAAAGTCACATCTCAACTCAAATTCTAAACTCGAATCAGCGAAGTGAACGGGGGTCGTGTTTGAATGTGCACATTTGAGTTATGATTTGAATTGAAAATCTATTTGAGTTTGTGTTTGGATGAGTCAAAACTTAAATTTGTATTTAGATAATATTTTAATAAAAACTCAATGGTGATGAAAAATTTTAATAGACTATATGGGTGGGGTTTTATTCGTCTTTTCATTGTGAATGCATAAAAAAAATCATCTCAATCAGAATTAAAACGAAACAATTATGACATTTTTAATAATAGAAAAAATATTATTCATTAACTTGAGTTCGAGTTTATGCAATCGAGTTGAAGGGAAAATTTGAACTAGAGTGTAGCCTTAAACTCGAGTTCAAACTCAAATTTTATAAAAAAAAAACCACGAACTTGAATAAAATTGTAACTCGAGTTTAAATTTTTTCTGAGTTTTGTTGCAAAAGAACAACCCCTAAGTTTTCCTTTCAACTCGAGTTCATAAATTCAAACTCAAGTTAATGAACAATGTTTTTTCTATTCTTAAAAATATCATAACTTTTTCATTTTAATTCTGATTGAGATAATTTTTTTATGCATTCACAACGAAAAGACGAATAAAACCCCAGCCATATACCCTATTAAAATTTTTCATCACCATTGAGTTTTTATTAAAATACTATCTAAATACAAATTTATGTTTTGACCCACCTAAATACAAACTCAAAAAGATTCTCAATTCAAATCATAACTCAAATGTGTACATATAAACACAAACTCAAATTACAACTTCAACTAAAGTTATAACTCAAACTTAACTAAAGATCATCACTCAAGTCACCTTAATTCAAAAAAGCAAAAGAACAACTCCAACGTCTTTTTCACTTTCGTCCAAAATAACTTTTGTGGCTAAAATATAGTGCCAATTTAATTTACTGATTTGAGTTTTTAATTTGAGTTAAGATATAATTTTATGTGAGAATTTTTTATTATAGTAAAAAAGTTAAATTTTACTATTTTTAATAGCTTTTTACTGTATTAAAACTTAAATTTTAAGCTTGAATCGATAAAATAAATGGGATTATAAATCCCATTAAAGTAAACATCAAAAACAGTAAACTCACCGCCCACAAAAAACACTTACCCATATATTTTTAATCATACACATACATATATATACATATATATATATATATATATATTATATATATTGCTTCTTCTGTCTCAGCTTCAAATAGAAAAAAGAAAAGATTGCTTTTGGGACTATTTTCGCAAAGAAGCTGAAAAGTGTCCATCAATGGTGATTGTGAAAGGTGGGACGAGACCGCCATGGGTGGGCTTGGGAGCAGCGGTTTGGGTTCAGATTGCGTCAGGGAACTCCTACAGTTTTTCCCTGTACTCTCACTCTCTGAAATCGGTTCTGGGTTTCAACCAGAGACAGCTGACGTTGTTGGGTGTGGCTAATGACATAGGTGAAAACGTTGGCCTCATTCCTGGCATCGCATGCAACAAGTTCTCTCCTTGGGTTGTCTTGCTTATTGGCGCCTTGGCTTGCTTTTCTGGCTATGGTGTTATCTGGCTTGCCGTCTCCCGCACTGTTGAGTCAATCCCTTACTGGTTGGTACGTTTTCTTAATTTTTTAAATCTTACTTTTAGGTTTCTCGATCTTTTGATTGATTTTGAGCATACCCATGTGCTGATTTTGTTGTTTTTTTGGGGGAGTTTTAGTTTGTTTATATGACTGGTTGTGTAAATCTTGATGAAGTTGAGATGAATCTGTGCATTTAAGGTTTCTTTTAGTTTTGGGTAATCATAATGAAAATGGGTTATGTTCCCTTACTTTGGAAAGAATTAGCTTATTTTGGATCACATTAGTAATTCATTTTTGCTGATTGATGATGTTATAGTTCAAACTCTTTTTTTTTTTTCTTTTTTTTTTTTTTTTGGGTCTTTCCCCGGTAGAACCTCCTTATACCTGTAGGGCACGTTTCTGAAATATAAAGTATCAGAACACAGTTTTTTATATAGATTTGACGACCGAAAAGAAAGCCTTCGATAAGAAAGCCTTCGATAGTTCATTTTTCATTGCCTACTAAGAGAAATCCCCTTTTTTTCAATAACCTTTGGTATTTTAGGAAGTTTGGATGGCTTATCTACTAATCACTCTGTTGATTATGTTACTTGATAGTTAGTTCATTGCAATATTCATTATGTTAAATTCTCAGTAAAGGTTCTTTACGCCATTGTTATCTGTCGGCCTTTAACTGGACATTTATGGGAGATAGAGATGCCATTTCCTGCTCAAAGAGCATCCTTTCTCAATCTCCCTTCACATGGTGAAAGAAAATATATGTATTTTTTATTACCCGCTTTATTACCCAATTAGGAGAGTAATTTGAGCAATCCTCTAGATATCCGTTTGTCGGAATAATAGTACAATGTTTTGATAAGAGAAACGTGTCACTTTATCAAGGGATCTCTAGTTCATTTGGTTATAAACTGTTTTGATTTGGAAATAATTTCCCGAACTGATTCCTTCGACGAAAAAGTGGTTTTGCTCCATATATACCATGTTTAAGTTTCAATGCGTAATCTCTAAACACAAGAATTAATAATTTTTGTTTTTCAACATTGCAGTTATGGATAGCCCTTTGCATTGGCACTAACAGTGCTGCCTGGTTGACGACGGCTGTGCTTGTAACTAACATGAGAAACTTCCCTCTTAGTCGTGGGACTGTTGCCGGTATTCTCAAAGGTTATGGAGGGATTAGTGGGGCTGTGTTCACTGAAATTTACAGTGTGCTGCTCCGTAATTCTTCCACTTCACTTCTATTGTTCCTTGCTATTGGGGTTCCGGTCCTATGTTTAGCAATGATGTATTTCGTTTGGCCTTGCACTCCAGCTTCCGGTGAAGACCCCGCTGAGCGTGGCCATTTTCTTTTCATCCAAGCTGCAAGTTTCGTGCTCGCTGTATATCTTTTGACAACTACGATATTAGATGATGTCCTCAATTTAAGTTCTCTAGTTTCCAACGTAATTGTTCTCGTAATGGTTTTGCTTCTTATGGCCCCACTTGCAATTCCTGTAAAAATGACATTGCACCCTTCTCAAGGCAGCAGATCGGGGACACTTGAACACAAAGGTGGTTCTTCAGAAAGTCTGATCCCACAAGAAGGCAGTGGAGAGAAAACTGAACCCCTGATCTTGCCGTCTCCATCGACAGGAATTCAAGGAAGCTTTTACGACGGCGATGATGTTTCTGATGTCGATATGCTTCTTGCTGAGGGTGAAGGAGCTGTGAAGAGGAAGAGAAGGCCCAAAAGGGGGGAGGACTTCAAATTCACCGAAGCAATAGTCAAGGCTGATTTCTGGCTTTTATTCTTCGTGTTCTTTGCAGGGGTTGGTTCTGGGATAACTGTTCTCAATAATCTTGCTCAAATTGGGATCGCCCAAGGCCTTCATGATACAACAATCCTGTTGTCTCTATTCAGCTTTTGCAACTTTTTGGGTCGTCTTGGTGGTGGTGTTGTTTCTGAATACTGTCTAATGTTAGTGTAGCATTTTAGCCTTGTTACTGATCCATGAAATGACTAAATTCAATAATGCACTTGTCCAATACCTAGAGATGATTGTTGTAATCTAATGCTGCAATAAATTCATTGCAGGTGGAAGACAATTCCTCGGACTGTTTGGATGACATTCACCCAAATAATCATGATCATTGCATACCTGCTGTTTGCTTCTGCTATCAATGGCACCCTATATGCAGCTGTCGCCTTACTCGGAGTCTGCTTCGGTACCCAGGTTTCCATCATGATCCCAACCGTCTCTGAGCTCTTTGGCTTGAAACATTTCGGTCTATTTTACAATATCATGTCGATAGGAAATCCTCTTGGTGCTTTGCTTTTCTCCAGCCTGCTTGCAGGGTATGTATACGATAACGAGGCAGCAAAGCAGCAAGGACTTTATCCATCTGATTCTAGTAGCACTTGCTTGGGTCCAAATTGCTTCCGACTCACTTTTTTCGTTTTGGCCGCTGTCTGTGGTGTGGGCACACTCTTGAGCATTGTTTTGACCATTAGGATAAAGCCTGTTTACCAAATGCTTTATGCAGGGGGTTCCTTCAGGCTTCCACAAAGCACTAATCATTAAGGGCATCCTTTGTGGGAACGTCCTAGTCAAGCTACTTCAGCTCTTTTGTAAGTTTTTTGTTTCTTATTAGGCTCTTACCAATACAATGCATATCTAAGTCAACTTAGAACATGACAGTCTCCAGTTTGTTTATGTTATAGCTGTTCTACTTGTAGTGTTTGTGACGCAATATATTGTGGTTTGAGCCACAATTGGAGCCTGATATGAATGGATCTCAAGTCACGAGTATGAGAAAATTTTTCTACACTCAAATGGATACTTAAAAGTTTTAATAAAAAGCTCACATGAAGGGTGTTTGATATGAAAAGCCATGTTGCTCCAACCCCCTTCCTCAAACAACATTCTCTTACTATGAATGAGGAATATTTAAAAGAACTAGTTAAAGAGTTCAACTATCAAATGATGTTAAGAAGCAAGCTGGGGGTAGCAAAACATTGGGTTTTGTACTTGGATAAGAAAAAACATTAATACCCACAACAAGAGAGCTTGCAGGTGTAATAAGTTCTCGATTGAATGACAGTTGCTGCTAGTCTATTTTACAATATTAGTCTGATTTCTGTTTAGTGGTTGGAAATTCAAGAAATTTGTATGCGCTTATGCCTTTGTCTTCCTCTTTAATGAAAAATATTATTGGTCCAAGTGTGTATGTCGGTGCATAGCAATACAGATTATTCTATGTTGTGCATGCGATTTTTCTTGTGTCGAATGATGGCAAACCGACTTGATTTTTGAAATTTGAGTTGCTTTCATCATAAATATATTACCATCACTCGACGTCTGAGGCTAAAAAAGCGTTGCATAATACGAGCAGTCGCTGATAGTAGCTCTCTTTTTAATCCAAAACATCAACTTTGATTGGATTTAAGATAGGAAGAGAAGAATGGTGTTTTGCAAATTTGCCCTCTGAACGTGTAGTTTTTTTGCAATTTCCTTTTTGAACTTTTAATTTTGATAATTTACCTCTTAATTTGTAAAATTGTTGCAATCTACTCCTTTTTAATGATGATTGTGTCAAATTATTGATGAAAAAAAACGTTCAATGAAAATTTTCAATATCTCAATTTAAGTTGTAATACACTTATACAATTTGTAGCTACTTCTACAATAGAGTTTATCGAGTTCAATATAGCATAATAAAACAGGGATAGACTAATACCTGATTCAAAAGCATGTGAACTAGATTTGCTTGAAGCTTGGATTGAACTAAGACTCCCTTTTTAGTTCCTTCATTTTCCTTCAATGTAGGTCAAATAAATGCCACAAAACTGTAATTATACAGTCTATTTTGGCCATTATTTCTCATTGAAGTGTCATATTATTACTACCGAGTTGTTTCTTTAGGGATATAAATAGTTGAAGTTGAATAATTAATGGACAATAATTACAACTAACACCTATCAAAAGCAATAACTTGATAAATGTTCCACCTAACGTTTCAATCAAGCTTAACATACATCTAAGGGTGACAATTTGTGTTAGTGAGTCGTGTCTGTTTCAACCCGTTTATTAATCGTGTCAGAAAATATCAACTTAAACACGATCTGTTTATTAAACATGTCAAAAATATCAATCCAAACACAACACATTTATTAATCGTGTCAACCGTATAATTGGTTTAAATTAATATATTGAATAAATAATTAAAATAATAATGACTTTTTTAATACGGTCAAGACATGCTTAACATGTTTATTGGTCAATTTATCATTTTTCTTAAGAAAAAAAATAAATTTTACTTACAAATATTAAATTTCACATTATTTGTATTTAATATGTCATATAAACTTTCATTAGATTGCAGATGACACATATAGTTAATCGTGTCAATTCGTGTCACTTTGTGTTAGGAGGTCAAGCCTAATCTAACTCATTTATTAATCATGTCAACTCTATTATGACTCAAACTCATTTATAGTAAACCCAAACCCGCTAACTTCATACGGGTTTTGAGTCGTGTTGTCATGTCATTATCCGGATTGTCAGCCCTACATACATTATGGACCATGTTTTCCCCTTCCATTTTCGATATAAATGCTTCAATGAATTACAAAATAAATAGACAAATTATTCTCCGATTCAAAATTTCATTTCCAGTTTATTACAGTAAAAATATTTATAAAAAGTTACATCTAATTTTTTCTGTTACAGTAAAAAACTCTCACAAAAAGTTACATATCAACTTGAAATGAAAACTCGAATCGAAGAACCTATGGTTGTTGCATGCATGCATGATCTTGTTGTAAATTCACATTTGGATTCCACGTGATTTAGAGTTCAAATTACTCCACCCCGAATTAAAAAAATAAATAAGTAAAAGTAAATGAATAAGTTCATAGAGTCAGGAGACAACACATAAAAAAGAACCAAGAAAATTGCAAAATAATGGGGAAATAAATATCCAAAAACTTCTAGACACACTCCAAAAGAGGCCATTTAAAAAACGACTACTAAAAATCTTTAAGAGACGAACCAACCACACTAGTGTCAATGCCCAAAACAAGTGACCCATGTATATGCAGTATAGAGGTCAATACTAGTGGCACTGTAATATTATTTCCATCACATTGAGTAAAAACAAATATATAAAAGTTATACATTTTTTTTTCTCTCACCCCTCTGATTGGAAAACCAAGAAAATCTCAAGTGGGTTTCATGTCGTGGAACAAGGTGGTCCAAAGTGAATGATCATCAAACTCATCAACATCCGCTTTTTCCTTCTCATAAGGAGTGCAGAACTTTGGGCTCAGAACTCTCCCATCCAAAGGCCCAGACATCTTTGGGCTTTTAGTTGTTGTAACAAAGATCCTATCATGGACCCTCCCATCCAAAGGCCCAGACAATCTTGGGCTCCTTGTGGTAGTAATCATCAACCTCTCTGGCAGCGGTCCCCTCCCATTTAGAGGCCCAGACCCAGTTAACTTTGGGCTTCTATTTGGATACATCAGCCTCTCATGGAGCTTACCATCCAGAGGCCCAGACAGCTTCAAACTCTTGGTATTGGAGATCAACCTCTCATGGACCCTGGAATCCAGAGGCCCAGAAAGAGCCAAGGCCCGGTTCTTCAGGCCCGGCCCATTATCCCTCATCTCATCGCCACTCCTCTGCTTCCTCAGCAGAGCTCCTCTCCAGTGCTCCTGAGACCGCTCTCTATAATGATGGTCAGGCAAATCCTTAGACGACATGTCGTCTTGAAACACGAATTTGCTTATGTACTTGCCAAACGACTTCTTGGTCTTGCTTAACGCCAAGAAAAGCCTTGAGAGCGATCTGGGGTTGCCTCCATTTTCCTTCTTTGCCACCTTGAGAATCTCTAGCCTGTGTTTGGCGACAGTGATTCCCATGCTCTGAAGAAACTCATGGTTGAAGTAAGCTATGTCCTCGTATTGGAGCTCGTTTCTTGCGAAAGCTAGGCCGTAGTCGTAGATGAGAGGAGGGTCTAGGCCAGTTTTTGATAGCCATGAAAACCAGTCCATGGCTTGGGAATGGTGGGGGATTGAGTTTTGTGGTTGTTTTGTATTTTGAGTGAAAAAGGTCTAACTATGTAGGGTAGTGATTGGGGAGAGAATATTTATAAGGAGTTGATGATAAGAAGTGGTGACGAGTGGAAATGTTTTAATTATGGTGGGTAAATTTCTTTATCATTTGGGTGCTTTAAAAACTTGTAAAAGTTGGGTAGCTTTTTATATGGGAACTTATGTGGTAGGAACAGAAAGAATAAGCGGTTAAAAAGTTGTATATTTTTAAATTTAATGTGATTTAAGAGAAAGAACCTTTTTTTATATTAGAAAAAAGTAGGGTAGATTTTTTGTTTTTATTTTTTTTCCCCTTTTTAAGGACATTATTTTTAATAGTCTTATTAAATAACAAAGTATGATGATAGGAACTTGATAAAAATTCAACTATTAAAAGTTGTGTCCTGAGCGGTAGAATTTGATGAAAAATTCAACGGTTAAAAATTACATCATAATTCGTAGAGTTTTCTTTTATTCGTTTTTTTTTTTGTTGAAAATTTTCTCTATTTTTTTTTTTTTCCACTTTCATATCTTACCCTCTTTTATCTTTTATGGAAATTTTGGATGGTAGTTGGGATTGAGGGTGACCGAAGAGAGCAACAGGAAGTAGGGCTTAGCATGAGCACCTTAACGACCTTCTGTGGTCCTTTAAATTAAGAGTGTGGTGGGGTGATTTTAATGCAAAATTTGTTTGGTAGTGGTACTAGTAGTACTATTGCATGTGAGTGACATTAGCACCAATTGGACTAAAGCGACGCGTATGGGAAAAGAAAAGAATAGTAGACCAAATCCTTTTGGATGAGTAAACACGTTAACTAATATTACGATTTGGTTCCCATTTTCAAACTATTATTACGATTTAAAAAGAAAATAAAAAAATGTATTGTAATATGGTCTGTAACATGTTTTTTGAACATGTAATAAGCAACATTTAGGTCATAAATAATTCAATTTTTCGTTTTATTAATCAATGCTATCAACAAAAATGTTTTAACAAACATCTCAACAAATATATATTATATATGAGAGAAAAAAAACACACACACACACACACACAACGAAATAGGTTTTGAGGATACAACTTCTATTCACATTCTAAAATTTCAAATTCATAACTAATTAAAAGGTCTGTTTTGGTTACTGGTGTCACAGAAAGCGTTACAACATTTTACTGTAATATTGTTATAACAGAAATTTCGATATTAAGCCAGCAAATCAGAAATGCAAGAAACTAAATGCAGCAACATAAAGAACACCAGAAAATGGTATCGCAGTTCGGTGCGCACACCTACTCTGCGGGGCCACGCCCAGACAGTGATCAATCTACTAAGTTCAAAAGATTACAAGGACCGAAACGGTCTTACACACTCAACGACTCCCTCCTTGAAGATGTTGCCATTGCCTAGAACCTCCTTAGAAGACTTGATCAGCGAGCACCACTCGTCTTGATGGGTTCCTCCCGAAACCAACAAAATTTTCTTCCGAAGAACCAATTCAAAATATGTTCTCACAATCCGTCACAACGCATCAAGTGATTCTTGGCCTTACAATCTCATTCTCACGTACACGGTTCTGCAATCCTCAGCACACTCTAGCTCAAAACATACATTCAGTGTCTACACTCAACCGTGCTTTCTTCCCAATCAAAAGACCATCACCAACAATCAAATCAGTCAACCATTAATTCACAAAGTCAACTATACACTTTCTGCAACCAAATCAATACTATTGCTATGTCACCAAAATTTTCCTTAAGAAACTCCCAAAATGTTGCGCCAGCCAAGATTACCACCAAATTACAACCAATCTGCTTAAAATAGTTTTTCATAAGAGTTTACCAAAAATAAGCCAATAACAAAATACACTAACACTAATAATCCCTAAAACATAGAAAATGAAATATGAACCGAATGAGCATTTTTTTCTTTTTTTCTTTTTTTTTTAAAGGAAATTGGCCTACAGGTTTTGGACTAATTGTCTCGGAGAATTTGAGACTATATCTCATTTATTTAATATTATTTTTTACGTAATAGAAAGTTGTGTTTTAGTATTATTGATAAAACGCACAAAAATAGATGTCAACCATATCACCTTAAACGGTACCCGAAATAATCGTGGTGTGACAAATTTGAGATGTAATTCAGTCTTCTACTTACACAAGAAATTAGGGTTTATGGAAATATGTTGGCAGTATAGTCAATCAACTAATGTTCAATAATGTAGCCTTGGATGCCATATTTTCCATATTGGCATAAAGTATGGCACAGCTTGAGACATGTGCAATTGGTTCAGAGATCCGTATCACGGTTTAAATCATGACTCGTGACTCGTTAAAATATTTTCTCTAAAAAAAAAAATACACGTAAAATTGAGAATGATTCTGAATCATGATTCGAAATCCAATAACCAAACGTAGTTTGAAGAGTAAGTTATTTAATTACTCAATCCGTCACTATATTAAAAATATTTAATAATATAATTTCTATTAGAATACTTTCTCTTTTTATATCCGGTAGATTTTATTTGGCCTTAAACTTTTAAGCCTTACACTATTATGGCCACCTCAAAGTCCAACATCAAATAATGTTCAGCAATACAGGCAGCTTGGATGTCATATTTCTACATTGGCATAAAGTATGGCACAGCTTGAGAGGAATGCGAGTCTCTTTTTATATTCTGCAAAGCATTTATTAGCCAGCCGTAGTACTGGCCAATGAAACAAAAAGTTTAGAAGAAAAAGTTGAAATCAATTAGATCAAATCAGACAAAGTACTTTTTTAATATCCTTGAAAGGGGACAAAATACTTTCGGAAAGCAAAGTATTAGTGTGTATTATGTGCTCCATCATGGGCCCAAATTACAAAGTGCAGAGAGGCAGGTAAAAACTGAATGGCAAGGCTTAAAATTTGGATAACCCCCAAAATTAGCTTAGGGTAGACAGAGTTGTTAAGCATATTGAATTCGATAACCTACTACCCATGTTGTGACAATAATCATCTTCTAAAATACTCTTTTGTGGGGGCCCTATGACTTTTAAAGCTTACCAAATGATATTTACCTGCCCATTTATAAACAATCTCTTTATACCAAATGAAAACTAGGAGAATTTTACTTTAGAATAAGAAAAACAATATCTTACTGATAAAGTTCTGTTTTGAACTGTTAAATTTGTATTAAATTATGTCAATCTTATATTCTCTTTTTCATTTTAATATAATTTTAATTAAATCTAACATTTATAAACATGCACTAACAGTAGAGTCCCTCCTACAGAAAGATCCATAAAACTAACCTAAAAATTGCATAATTCTTTTTTGATAATTAACTTTAGGTAATTAATTGAATTATATACCTTGACCTTTTCGCCATTTGCAAGTTGGAACAAAACTTCACAATTCTTGATAATACGGTTCACTCAATAGTGAACATCAATTAATGGATAAAAATTATGGTCTTATAAAAGTTAATTTTTAAAAACGCAAGATCAATTTGTTAAAAGTTTATTCAGAAAAAAAAAAACAAAAAAGAAAAACGCAAAAAAAAAAAGTTTTAAGGGGCATTTATATAAATATTTTTGGGTATTTCTGTGCATCAATCGATAGTTGTCCTAGATTTGACCATATTTTAATATGCAATAAGTTTTTAAATTTAGGGTTTAATTTACCAAAACTAAAAGTTGGATGGCCAAATTATCATAAGTACTTCACGGTGCACGACTAGACTTAACCGTTAACTTTATTACTTCTGTTGTGAGGTCTATAACACATCCAAAAATAATTTCTTGAAAGTTAAACATAATGTAATTAGTAGGGATGTTTTTTTTTTTTTTTTTTTTTTTTTCCTTTGTTCATGGGATATGACATCATATATCATATATATATTTATTTATTTATAAGGATAACGCACTTTTCTAATCTAACCCACGCTCTATCCTATATTGTTTAACAATCATTAGTGAATTTTAACTTATCTATAGGATGTACTAATTACGGGCACTTAACCTAATAGGCAGGAAATTATCAAAGGTTAATTTTTTTTTAAAAAAAAAAATAGGGGGAAGAAAATATTTTCTCTAGCATCTACTCTGATTTTCAAATATAATTCTCGTATGAAATTAGTCATAACGTGAGAGTTGAATGAATAAAAACTACTATATTAAACAAAGTTTAATAACTCTTATACTGACTTATTTGGGAAGTGCAACGCCCTTAAGTCCATTGATGCATATTTTACTTTTTTATTAATTAGGGAAAATGAACCTCTATTAACCATATCATTTTGATTGCATAATAATAACAATAACAAAATTTATTATTTTTGTAATCAATTTAAAGGAAAAAAAAAATCATGCCACGCTCGTGAAAGAATAAATTTTCCTGATGGTTCCAGAGGAAACAAAATATAAAAGAAGGTAATATTGGTTACAATACTGAAAGTTTACATATATAGCATGAGTAAGATTACTGGTATTCAACTAGTTCATTTAAAACCCAAGTATGGCATTAAGTATCCAAGAAAATAGGTATATGCGTGGTTGCAGGTTCAGTTTGGATTTGAATGAATTGTTGTAAATGCTCAAACATAAGTGTGCACAGCTATAGAAAATACTTAGCACCAAGTCATCAACCATTTATAGGCGGACTTCCCATTCTTCTGAAAACAAGTTGTAAAAAAGTTGGTTGAACTTGGATATGGACAAGATACTGAAATCTAATGAAAGTCAAATTGAATCACATTTGTTAATTCATAAAATCTGGCCTAAGAGGTTGAAAAAGTTACTCAATGCCCATCACATCTAAAGATTGCTCAGAATCTGATCTTTTTGTAAGAAAATATACACTGAAATTATGTATAAGCTGAAATCTAGGAGCTAAAGGAGGATCGTGGGATGTTCTAATTTGCATTAAAGGCTCTACAAATCTTATTTATTGCTCTGTCCACATTGTCAACTTTTTTGGTGAGTGAAATCTGAGAGAATATGCATGATCTTTCCAAGAAGTAGTAGATTTTCTTTCAACATTGTTTCTTTTTTCCCTTTTAGTTTGGCAATTATAGTGGACATTCAAAATTCGTCAAACATACATGGGTTGTCCATGAATATTCAAGACATAGGCCAGCTCTAGTATGAGACATATATAATCCTAAT